GTTTCAGGACGGGCAGATGAAACACATGGCAGACCCACTGAAAGGAGGACAGGGGGAAATATGCAGCGTGTGTGGAGGAGGACGCGCCGGAGACGGAGGGAGGCGGCGCGCCGGAGACGGAGGGAGGCGGCGCGCCGCGGGAGGGCCGCTGCTGCTGCACGGGGAAAGGGACCCCCACCTAAACACCCTCTCCGCACAGCAAAACGTACACAGTACCAAGAATCGGAAAAGTTTGAGATGCGTTGAGAAAAGTCTGAAACGTCTTAAACACGCAGCGTGCACGTGCGCCACAACGGCCCGGACACTGCCCCAGATGGGCGCCTTGCAGGATTTCTCACCGGGTTTGTCAGGTTCAGCTCACGGTCTCTGCCGTCAGTAACGTTCGCCCTTTCCCCGGAAACGCTCAGAACAGACCGGAAGAATCTCAGCTACTGAAATCTTTGGGCTAATCTCAGAATATTTGATGTCATCTGCGCGACACACAAGGTGAGTTAAAGCTAAAACTCATTTCACTCAGATGATCACACTTCTGCCCATAAAGATCTGAATGAAATGCAACGTTATCTTGAATAGAAACTGTACAGTTTGGTCTGATTGTTCGATTATTTTAGCTGCAAAAAGTTCTTCTCAAATACTAAAAAACATACAGAGACTTATCCAGGGTAACACTGCAGCTGCTTAAACAGACAAACCGAGATTATGAAAAGAGGAGGAAATAGAAAAAAACATACAGAAAAGCTATTGAAAATGACCCACAGGAGGCCCAGGGCAAAAGCTGTGACTTCTCTCTGTCTTCTCGTTACATTTATAGCTTATTAAACTCACAGCACCGCGGGCGCTTGTTCACAGGCTGAGCCGTAATGGTGTCGCTCCTCCGCTGTGTTCAAACATCGCGAGAAAGCTGCACAATCAACACAGGTTTGGTAAAACACACAACTTGTATTCATTTATTGTCTGTTAGAATAAAATAAATTGAAACAGGTGAGGAGTTGCGCATCTATACGTTTGATCGCTTGTTTAGTTTAATTTAAAATCCACAATTTGATCGCTGACATTTTCATTGCTGCTACTTTTATTCTTACAATAAACTAGAAGCAGTTTAACAGTTCAGGGAAATGCCGCTCCTAGGCTCAGCTCTCAGGCCTTTTGCAGTTAATAATTCTAACAGGACTGCAGCACAAAGCTGCTAAAACACTTAAATCAGGGAATGAATTCATGCTCCTGTTCTGAAGAAGGATAGTAATTGTGCATGAGCTTAATCGAAAACTGGACAGGAGCAGTAAAAGAAACCCATGAAAACCACACGGTCAGTACATGTGCAGGAAGAAGCTTCTTTATTTCTACCCAAACTATTTCCAGCATGTTGTTTCAGCCAACAGCTGATGGTTTTTGTTACTGGGACCATTTCTGAATAACGCTCGCTGTTATTTGGATAACAATTAACACATTTGATTACAGATTGATGCAAAAGTTAAGGAAAATCTCTCTCTCTCTCTCTCTCTCTCTCTCACTCACTCACTCACTCACTCACTCACTCACTCACTCACTCACTCACTCACTCACTCACTCACTCTCACACACACACACACACACACACACACACACACACACACACACACACACACACACACACACACACACACACACACACACACACACACACACACACACACAAAGGGCAGAGGTCACACTGACTTTCCTCTCCTCAGGAGGGGTGAGTGTTTGCATGAACACATGGCTCATGAGGAATTTTGAGCAGGAAGTGACATCAGGAACTGTTTACAGAATCAATCTTTTCCTGTGATGATTTTGCTTGAGCTTGTTGGCTGGTATCAGGTGGAGGGAGTTGAGGGGTTTAGGGGAAAATAAATGAAACCTGTAATTAGCCTGCAGCATATTTGCTGTTCTCTGTTGTGTCATGGACGTTTAATAAAAAATAATCAGACTCTAAAATATTGCTTCATTATTTTGTTGTTGACTTATAGTTTAAAAGCCCAACAAGTTCATATAGATTTTCAATCCTGAATTATTTGCACACATTTAAAAGAATGAAATCAGTCAATACCTCATTTTAATGTTTTGTTCTAACATTTCCAAATAAGATTCACAAAAATTGCCCGATACTGGAAGGTATCCAGAATAGTGCCTCTTTGTAGAACCAGAAGTCAAGAAGTTGATTCTTATTATTGGCTTAAAACCAAAAGATTTACATGCATCCCTGCAGGCTGTGCAGCACGCATCACGGCTCTCATCAGTCAGGTCTAGCCTCCTCTGCAGTGACTGATGTGTTTCTGCCGAGTCTGTTTGTTTACAACAGCGAAAACAACACCTGCAGCTACAGTCAAGCCCGAACTCACACGGCTCTGACCTTTGGCAGACTCCCTCAGGATCCCAGCAGCACATGATAACTTCTCAGACTCATGGTGCAATTATAAATAATATTTTTTAATTGAAAACATTTCTGTGAACAAAATTGGCATAATTTAATCAGTTGTGTTCAAAGTAGAGCCTAAACTTGTAAAGTGACTAACGAATCTTTGTATTTTCATAAAGAACTGGCAAAAAATACAATTTTTACAATTTTATATGTATTCTTGTCAAAAATAGTTCTAAATATTACAATGTTTTTATGTATTGATTACGACTTGTTATAACAAATGAATGTGTTATTTTCACACAGTGTTTATGTAGATATTACATAAACAGATTGTTTAATATTTTTCAATTATTTACTGTGATTACAACCAAAAATATGTGTTTTTTAGTTTACAGTACTGTTCTGTTGTGTATTTAGACTGTTTTATGTACATTTCTGGGTCATTTTAAACTTTTTCTTAAATGCCCCAGCTGGCACAGGTTTCACTCAACAAAAGGAGAACATTTTTATTTTTGTTTGTGCAATTCTACCACAAAGCTTGTTTTTTGTACCTGACAAAAAAGCCCCACATTATTTTAGTTTAAAGGGACATTCTTGACCGTTTTGAGACGCGTTTATGTGTGAAAATGATAACTTCTACTTGCTGATGTCATCCTGAACAGAAAAGAAGTAACATAAAACAGCTTAAAAGCCTAAATCTTTTATCTTAGACTCAATTGGTTTTACTCAAAGAATACATAGCTCCACCCACTCCTGCCATCATACACTGGACCTTGTGGTGACTTATGGCATAGAGTGTGAGGAAATAACGATCTTTCTACATAATCCAGTCCTCTCGGGACCACTTTCTGGTAACCTTTGAGTTTTTTATAACTGAGTTCTCGAGACATGAAAGTAAATTTCACTATAGTCGGTCTCTATCTGACAACGCATTTGCATCTTTTAAATCAACTGTTCCATCTTTACTGTCCTCAGAATCTCAGAGGAACGTAGCAGAGGGCAATATTTTCAGTTCTAGCCCCTCACAAATTGATGCCTTAGTTCATCATGTTAATTCCTCTTTACGTGTGGCATTAGATGATGTTGCCCCTTTAAAAAAGAAGGTAATTAGGGACAGGAAGTTGGCTCCCTGGTTTAATTCTCATTTACGAGCTTTAAAAAAAAACTCTAGGAAATTGGAGAGAACATGGCGCTCTACCAGGGCTGGACTGGGACAAAAATTCAGCCCGGGCATTTTGATTGGAGACCGGCCCATCACCTGGTTTTTTTGGAAAAGACATTAAGCCTTACGCTGTTTCTGACACACACCAACGTACACTTTCTTATTGGTAGTATTTATGTATCAATCTAATAAACGTAAACCTACACCATCCTTCCTATCCTGGTATTCTAAAAAAGTAGGGTTGGGGGCAAATGATTATTTTTAAAATGATTATTCTGACGATTATTTTATCGAATAGTCAACTATTCTAATGACTATTTAGATGATTAATTTAGCGATTATTTTTCTATTGCACAATTAATAAAAACCAAAAAATCTCAAATAAATTCCTCCAAAAAATTGATAAGTTGTTACTGTAAGAGAATAAACACTACAGGCCTTCCATTTTGTATAACACTGCTTTTATTGTGTTGCGGTTGTTTATATTCTGGTGACGTGTAGATCATGCAGGCTGCTGCCTGAGAGGTGGTTGGAGACGGAGTGTCTCCATGCTGCTTTGTTTTGGTCACTTATGTGCATGAGGCAAGTGGTGTTACGACCCTTGCTGGGGAGTCACGTGTAAAGGGTTAAATTTACCTAAATATTACCTTATTTATTATCTCTTGATGTTATTCGTCCCTATTTCTGTGGTTAATTGACAATAGTTTCCTGAAATGTTTCTCCTATTTTAACTGTAAATCCTTCTAGCTGTTATATTTATAACAAGAAACAGATATTCGGACGGAATATTTTCATGTTTATTCGAATATGATTGTGGAACACACCCAGCATCATAATAAATGAAGTCATATTTATGCCAATTTAAGCCTTTATGGGTGACCAGGACACTGTGATCAATTTTTGGCAAGGGAAATTATCATTTGTTGCCATTTTTGAGGTGTTTATGAATGTGGAAGACACCCAGCATCCTGTGATGGCACTAATAACATCAAGAGATAATAAATGTAACCCTTTACAGGTGACCAGGACACTGTAATCAATTTTTGGCAAGGGAAATTATCTTTTTTTTTTTTGTGCCATTTTTGGGGTGTTTTTGATGATACAGTAGGCAGTATGAGTACAGTAACATCAACAGATAATACATAAAACCCTTATTTGGTCAATTTTAGCCTCCATGAAAATCTTAGTGATTCAATCACTTTTTGGCAAGTAAAATGCCATTTTAGTTATCTACAATTAAATCATCAATAAAGAATTTAAAGACATTTTGAGGCGTTTCTTATAGGTAAACGGGAGGGTGTAGTCTATTTGGCAAGTGACAATCTTAATTGTATGTGCTGAAGTGCTTTTATCTTGTTACTTTTAAATAGAGCAACGTAATGAATAGCAACTTACACAGTGTCATTGTAAAGCCAAAGCTTGATCAGTTTAAATACTTTTTTTCCAAGTAAAAATGTGCCCCAAACTAGTTAACCGTGGCTCCATGTCAAGTGGACTAAAGAAAGGAAGGGGAAAAAAATTAAATCGCTGGAGAATTGTTTATTTCCATTTATACAACGTTTACATTCAATACAGGGTGCCATTTTACATTGTTTATTTATTTTTTTAGTATCAAGGCTGTAACATAAAGAAAGCCAGTTCTTACCACAAACCATCTTTCAATCGCAAATATTGCAAAAAGGATTAATATATCCTCATTGTGAACGTTTAAGACAAATAGCAACACTTAAAACAACTTCCGAACTGGAAAAACTAATGTGGCAAGGTGAAGAAACAATGCCCGAGCGGGATTCGATCCCCAGACCTTTGGGGTGAGAGTCATACGCTCTAACCACTCAGCCAAAGGGACATCCCCTTGGCCAAGTAGCCAGGGCGCAAGATCAATCGGGACATTGTGACAGGATGCTCACACTGTCACATCTTCCTCCCTCTTTCCACAAGCACGTCCTCGAGCGCCCGCGCAGGGTGCCACCAACACTGCCACACTAATATCCGCGATAAACATCTGTTTAAGTACCGGAAGAGGTTATCTTTGCTTTCTGAATGTCCATATTGCTAGATATGCCGAGTTTTAGGGCGAAATCCTGGGGAATTTTGTCTAGAAATGCAATTACCTCACCGTGCGCGATCCCGCGGTGGCTAATCATTTTTTGGCAGCGAGTCGATTAATGGCACAACACCGGCTCGGGTTTCTCCTCCTCCTCCCTCTTTTCTTCTCCAACCTGTCGCTGGGCTGAGGCTCCATCACTTCCTAAATTGATTTTACTTGAACCTTCACTACCAAACAACTGTGAGATTTTAACACATGTGCCAGCATCAGCCTGAAGGGCCAGTCTCTTTTTTAGTCGAATTTTCTCCGCTCCTCCTTTCCGTTTTTTGTTCTCCATTTTGTTAAGCTCGTCTGTCTGTTTACTGAGATTCACAAACAACTGGCGGGTGCATCAGACCTCTGGCTATTGGTCCAGCCCAGAGTGTATTATTACCAATTGGCCAATCCACCAACTTTTACGAGGCGTCGCGTGGGGCGGCGCGGACAAGTTGTCCGCAACAACTAGAGGCCAGAAAAAAAAAAAAAAAAAAAAAAAAAACAGACACCGGCCCATAAAAGATGAAAGGGTCGGCCCAGCGGGCAATTGCCCGCTATGCCCTATGGTCAGTCCAGCAGTGCGCTCTACGTACCATGAGGAGGCCTACCTATCCTGGAAAAATAGTCTGTCAGGATCTGGGGTGAGTCTGCACATTCCTCTAATCACCTTAAGTCATTGCAGGTGGGCGGCTCCGGAGAGCGGCCAGCTGCGATGATTTCCCTCATCAACTTCATGTGTTTATAAGGAGCTGGAGATCACTTCACCTCGCCAGAAGATTACTTACCTTGGGTAGCGCTTGCCACTATAGAAAACTACAGCTTAGTCTAGCCTTATATTTGTCCGTCGTCGTCGTCGTTTTTTTGATGACCTCTGCCTTCCCTTCATCAGGAATTCTCACCACGAACCTTTCCTGCAATAACCTGGTTTTTCATCTCCAAGCCTGATCTCCCTCCTCACCTGGACCGACCCGCTCTCCCACCGCTCACCTCCCTTGGATTTTGGATTCACGCTGACGTTGCTCACCCCAGTCCTGGCTACCCTCCCAAGCTCTGGATTTCAGTCCCCACAGTAAGATCCACTACAAACTGAGTCCTGCAATTCTATTCCCCACTGCCCAACACTGACAGTGTTTGTCTCAACAGACCCAGCCCCGGAGCTGTGCTCAACATCACCGCCACGTCTGGCGGCGCACCTTTTTTCTCCTTAAAATAAAACATTTATTTTTTCCTACCTACGTCTCCTAGTGTGAATTCTGCATGTCTTGGGTCAGGAAACTTCCCTCAGTCATGACATAGTCTTGTGCTTTATAAAAATAAGCTTAGACAAACTAGAACTGCTTCTTTCTCAGCGTTAATTGAGGAGAATAAGAATAATCCTAAATTTCTTTTCAGTACAGTTGCTAAACTTACAAAGAATCATAGATCTGAGCAATCTATTCTCTTACCCCTCAGCAGCAATGACTTCATGGGATTTTTTACAAGTAAAATTTATTCTATTAGAAACAAAATCTTTAGCATTCTCCCTAATGCGATTTCTTCTTCCTCAGTAAGTGAGGCAGCATCAGAGGTGACTGTAGAACCTCATCTGTGCTTGAACCGTTTTGATCCAGTTGAGCTTTCAGAGTTATCAAAAATATTAGCTTCATCTAAACCTTCCACTTGCATTTTGGATCCAATCCCAACCAAATTATTTAAAGATGCATTTCCTTTGGTTACTGCCCCCCATTCTAGATATAATCAATCTATCCTTAGTAAATGGATATGTACCACAGGATTTTAAGGTTGCTGTAATCAAACCTTCACTTAAGAAGCCTTCTCTGGATCCAGATGACCCAATGAATTATAGACCAATATCTAACCTTCCATTTTTATCCAAAGTCTTGGAGAAAATAGTGGCCATCCAAGTATGCCAGCATTTAAACACTAATGCTCTGTTTGAGGAATTTCAGTCTGGTTTTAGAGAGTATCACAGCACTGAAACTGCGTTACCCCCAAATTCCACTACCTCCGCTCCGCTCCGCCCCCGCCCCCGCCCTCCGCAGCCGCTCGCTTCCGAACTCAATTTTTACTGGTACCCGCTCTACAACGGCTCCGCTCCGGTGCGGAGACCTGAGGGGGGCAAACAAGCATGCGCGGGATTTTCGAGATCTTGCGATACAGTCCTCGCAATAAACGCGGAAGTTAGATCCAAACACCCGTTGTGCGGGAGAAGCATCGAAATGAGCTGTTTAATCTGCCCATCATTGTGTTGAGAGATCAGCAGTGTTTGGATCAACAAAGTGTGACTACTTTGATAGTGGCAACTGTATTTATGGCTTATTTTTGTGCTTTTAAACTTCAGCCGCCATTGATAGTTGTTAAAAGTTGTTAAACCTGTGCATTTGAAACAAAAAACGCCTTTTGTTTAGCGATTTATTGTGAAAAATGGAAGATGTGCTTGCTCCTTTTCCTGTTGGGCCGTTGTGATTTCTGTCCATTTACTGCGGAGGTGCTCCGGCGTCCGGCAAAAATAGGATCGATTCTATTTTTGCCGGACGCCGGAACAGAGGGCGCCGCACGGCGCCGCACTGCCGGAGCACGGCCGCAGTAGTGGAATTGCTCTGATTGACTAGAACGGGACCGATTTTGCTCCGGCGTTCGTGTCGGAGCGGAGCGCAGCGGAGGTAGTGGAATTTGGGGGTTAGTGAGAGTTACAAATGATATTCTCATGGCCTCAGATAAGAATCTTGTGTCTGTTCTAGTCTTGTTAGATCTCAGTGCTGCCTTTGACACAGTTGATCACAATGTTCTTTTAGAAAGACTTGAACATGTTGTAGGGATCAAAGGAACAGCGCTAGGCTGGTTTAAATCCTACCTGTCTGACAGATTTAATTTTGTAAACGTACATGACAAATCGTTTTCATACTCCAGGGTTACTTGTGGAGTACCACAGGGTTCAGTGCTTGGAACAATTCTTTTTACTATGTATATGCTCCCAATTGGTAAAATCATTAGACAGCATGGGATAAACTTCCACTGTTATGCTGACGATACTCAGTTATATTTCTCCCCAGGGAGCCAACTTCCTGTCCCTAACCCTGATGAACCTAAACGGTTGGGTAGATTACAGGCTTGTCTTGAGGACATAAAAAATTGGATGACTCTAAACTTTTTGCTTTTAAATCAAGACAAGATGGAAGTTCTCATCTTTGGACCAGAAATCCAGAAAAGGAAATTGCTTAGCCAATCGCCTGACCTGAATGGCATTACATTAATCTCCGAGAACAAAGTAAGGAACCTTGGTGTTATTTTTGACCAGGACATGTCATTCAAATCCCAGGTTAAACAGGTTTGTAGGATTTTCTTTTTCCACCTTTGGAATATTGCTAAGATTAGAAGCATACTTTTCAGGAGTGATGCTGAAAAACTAGTTCATGCATTTATTACATCAAGACTGGATTACTGTAATTCATTACTCTCAGGAAGTCCACAGAATGTAGTTAAAAGTCTTCAGCTTGTCCAAAATGCTGCAGCTAGAGTTCTGATGAGAATTAAAAAGAGAGATCATATCTCTCCTGTCTTAGCTTCCCTACATTGGCTACCTGTTAAATTCAGAATAGATTTTAAGATCCTCCTTCTCACATATAAAGCTCTTAATAATCAAGCTCCATCATACATCAGTAATCTGATTGTTCCATACGTTCCTAACCGAGCACTTCGCTCTCAGACTGCAGGTCTACTGGTGGTTCCCAGAATATCTAAAATTAGGATGGGAGGCAGATCTTTTAGTTATCAGGCTCCTCTCCTGTGGAACCAGCTCCCAGCTTTAGTCTATGAGGCAGACACTTTGTCTACTTTTAAGAATAGGCTCAAAACATTTTTATTTGATAGGGCCTATGGTTGAAATCTGATGTTAGCCTAGATCTGAACAAGTGGGGGAGTACAGGGAGGTGGAGTGTACAGTCAGTAAAGACGGCTCTCCCTTGCCCTGCCTCCAACATGCCTCCATCTAAAAGGCTAGGTTATCCAGAGTTATCTCTGTAGTTATGCTGCTATAGGCTTAGACTGCTGGAGGACACACTGACCACTTTCCACACTACTGCTTTCTTCTACAGTCTGCTCTTTAACTGTATTATTTCCTGCTATTTCAGCTGTTAACTTTATTTTCTCTGTAAGTGTTTTTCTCCCCAGAAGAAGCTACGGTGATGTTCTGCTGAGCTGTGGTGGCCTCATGGAGGGGGCCATCGTCTAGCACACTGCTGCTAACCACTAAAACATTCTCTCTCTCCTGATAATAACATGTTGCTTTCCTCGACGTTGGATGTGCTACTACTAGTTTATCCGTTTAATTATAGATCCACTAGGATAAATACAATAAAGTTTATCTCTCACCAAATAGAATATTTAATAAGAAATCACAATATAACTATAGACACATTATTGTGTGTGTGTGTTTGTGTGTGTGTGTTTGTGTGTGTGTGTGTGTGTGTGTGTGTGCGTGCGTGCGTGTGTTCTGTCTTCTCGATCCCCAGTGAGTCGTGGAGGATGACTGCTTATACTGAGCCAGGATTCTTTGGAGGTTTCTTCCTGTTAAAAGGGAGTTTTCCTCTCCACTGTCACTGCATGCTTGCTTAGTATGAGGATTGCTTTAAAGTCACTGACACTAGCCAGTGACTTGATGCAGTTTGCTGGGTTCCTTATATAGGAAACATTATTTCTGATTGGCTTAATGAACTCACCTGTACTGGAATGTTTATTATGTGAAGTGCCTTGAGACGACTTTTGTCAAGATTTGGCGCTATATAAATAAACCTGAATTGAATTAAATCTCTCAATTTTCATATACCATACCATGCCAGATGATTTCTATAGCACATTTGAAAACAAAGTGCTGCACAGGCAAGGGCTACAGTTTGTTTTCAGAATTGCTGGGGACAATAACCATACACTTGAGTGGGGTTTAAAAATTGCTGGGGACAATAAAATAGGCTAGCAAATCCTCATCGGCAGGCTTTTTTGAAAGTGGGGGGGACACAGCTGCCAATCACAAATTTTGCCCGGGACATGTCCCCGGCGTCCCCGGTTAAAATGACGCCTATGTGCACAGGACAGCTGTTACAGATGCCACCTTTGTGTGGTAAGCTTTTAAAATAAGCTTTTACCAGGTGTTTTAATCAGTAAATTGTTTGGGACTTTTTATCAACTTTGGGATTTTAAAACACCTTCTGCTCGGTTAAACTTTTAATATAAGTTTTAACCAGGTGTTTTATAGTTGATAATTTGGCTGTGTAATGTTAACCTTTTTAGAGAGATCTGTTTGCTTGTGTTTTAATACCTTTTTGTTACAAATAAACCCATTTTAAACTCCTCCGCCAGTTCTTATGTTACCCCCATCCTTCACATTTTACCATCTCATGTCGGGGACGTAACAACAACAATCATAAAAACATTACAAAACAGATAGAAACAGACAAAAAAATAAAAATAAAATAAAAACAACATAAAAAGGAGTCACTGCCCAAAAGCCAAGTCATAACAGTTGGTCTTAAGCCGTGATTTGAAGACAGCGATGGATGAAGACTGTGTAATTGTGAGGGGTAATACATTCCAGAGCATGGGGGCGACATACACAAAAACCCGCTCCCCCTTGCTTTATAGTCCATGGAAGGAGTGCAGAGTAGCAGTCAGCTGATCTCAGTGAGCATACTGGTATAGCATAATTCATACTTCTCCATCAGCTCCATGAGGGAGCTTTATTGTAACAGCATTTCTCCACCGCGCTCATCTCCCATGAGTCCAGCATCACTCTTTTGTTTCCTTTTGGTTTGGAGGTTCGTGAGCGGCACGCGCTCCAGACCTGCGTCATAGTCCCGCCTCTTAGCTTGATTGACAGCAGCTTTTTTTGCCTCACAATCAGTTTATACAAGATTCAAAGACAAAATGGGAGACAGTCAAAAATGTCGGATGGTGTCTCAACTAGCAGGATCTGTGAAAAATAGTGTAGATTCAGGACTGTCCCACAGAGAGCAGGAACCTTGGTCACCCTAACAGCAGCATAGCAGCACTCCGCATGGGACAGAGCCTCAGAGCCAGTCTGGAAAGGTGAGCAGGATCAAACCATTGTTGAGACGGGAGGTTTGCTGTATTTTTGTTTTTAAAACATTATATTTTGACCTATTGTATGTTTACGTGATAACAGCTATGTTACAGGTTTGATCAGAGAGAAGGAAAAACTCTGGCATGGATTTTTCATATGTAGGGTGGTGGGGGCTTTTGCCAGAACGATGCTCTGAAGAACAAGTTCAGCATCAGCAGGGACATGTCTACAGGAACAGAGACAATGACAGGACAGAAGCTGCAGCCTGGAGACACAGCTGTTTGCTACTGTGTGAGACGCCCACACTGATACAGAGATGCCTGCAGAAAAACTCGAATCACCGAGAAACAGTTAGAAATAAGAAGAAAACAATTGAATGTCTACAGCACTTTATATTGTATGAAACACAAAGATGCACCGTAATTACCAAACAAGACGAAAACAATAAGATGTGACAACTTGTAAAAGAGAAATACCAGTTTAGACCAGTTTAAGAGAAAAAAGACAAGTAAATCAAGACCCAGATGTTAAACCTCCACCGTCTGAAATACAAATGTAATCTATTCGATCAGCCTGCTGAAAAATATTATGATGCTTTGTTGTTATTCAACTGAATCATAGCAAGACAACAAAGTTTCTTTCATACAAGCTTTACTTAATCAGCAGATTGGAGCCTGAACATGAAAACAGCAGGAATCGTTTTCTAGAACCTGCTGCTTTTAACAGATTTTGTGTTTGGAAACATCAAAAGTGCAGTTTTCTTAGAAAGCACAAACAGTAATAAAATACACAAATAAACAAGCATGCTTTCATCCTGACAGAAATGATAGGCTGTGTCTCAATTCAGGGTCTGCATCCTACCTCGGCCGGATTCGTCGGCCGGTTACGTCACAGCGCCGCGACTCGGCCTGTCCCAATTCGAAGACTCCTTCAAATGCGGTCGACGAATGCGGCCTTCTTTTCGCCTGAATGAAGGATGGGTCGGGTGTATCCTTCAATAGGTAGCATTTCCCAAGATGCCTTGCGGGCCGGCCGGCAGAAAAACTTAAAAACAATGGCGGACAGTGAAGCGGGAGCTGTCGGAGAGGATTGCGCATATACATGTAAGTATAAACTTGAAAACTGTCAGTTTAAGGACTTTTTGTGATACATGAACGTTATTTTAGTTAGAAATGTTACAGTAAAAGTGCTTGTATTGCGGTCTCGGCTCGTATGTTCGGCCGCGCTCGGTGTCGTACTTCTCCCGCTACGTTTCCCCCTGATTTTAATAGAAGTTTGTATTTTAGGAACAAAAGAGAAAACCAGGGAATTTATTAAGCTTAGGACGGAGATGGACCACATGATCACTGGAGCAAAGTATTCGGCGGCTGTGGCATGGAGGTACAATAACATCTCATATTTTAAAAACTCGTTTGAGTTTATTTTTTTTCTGCGAAAACATGAAAGGAATAACCCGTTGTCCTCTTTTCTCTTCCTGTTTCTTTTCTTACATGTTTGTTAAGACTATTCTGGAGAAAATGGGCATCCAGGGGAAGGTGCCAGCGATGAGCTTCTGGAGCTGATCTGGGAGGACATGAGGCTGCAGAGGGAGGCAGAGCTGCAGAGGGCCCAGGAGAGAAGGAAGAACTTTGACAGCTTTTTACTTTGCTAGAAAAAAATGGTTAAGGAAGATTAAACATGTACATGTAAAAGAAATATCTAAATAAAATCAGTTCTGCATTAAACTCTTGAATTTTATTTTTGTTTACAAATGAGAATTGTTTACTAGAAGGTATCCGCTGGGTCTTGAAAAGTCTTAAAAGGTGATAAATCGGTTTTGGTCAAATTAAGACCCTTAGAAAGTATTAAAAACTATTATCACATCTTTGCTCAGGCTCAGCTAGTCTAAAGTATTTTCTCTGAATTAGCTCTCCAACAGTCAAGGAAATGATTAACCCCCAGAGACCCACGGTTGTAATATTACAACATCAGATTTAAGTCTACAAGAATAAACCTTCCCCATTTTTTTTTCTTTTTAAAACCACATTTACATTGCTAATAGGTCCTATTGTTCAGTTCTGCAACACTATTGGCTGTTAAAATGTGTAAATAGGCCCGTTTATCTGGCCTCCTAGAACATGCGAAAGGTTAAAAAAATATTTTGCAGTTGTTTTCTAAATTTGGGTTTCTGGGGGTTAAAAAGCTAAATAAAACGTCGAGCTCCATCGTTTAAAGTTCCTTCTGCCCAGCGGTTCCACGGTTGCTAGGCGACGGAACGTTCGCCGAGGGAGTTCATGAAGGCTAGGCCTGTCCAAATTCACAGCCGTTAACATCCGGTCTACCCGGCCGACGGAGGACGCAGCCCACGTCGGCCGGGTGGGCTGGGTCCTTCGAAGGATGCAGACCCTGAATTGAGACACAGCCATAGATTCACTTTATAAAAAGTTACACTGAGATTTTTATTTCCTGGCATCAAATCATGGAGGAAGAGGAGGAGTCACATTAATCTGAGCCTTGTCCATCTTCGTCTAGTTCATCAGTCAAAGCAGCAAGCAGATGATCACCATGTCTCCATGACGACTTTAACTCCGAGTTAACATCACACTTCTTCTGTTCTCATGTTTTCTGTTTGTCTCTCAGGTGTTTGCAGGCAGACTCTGAATGAATGTGAAGCAGCGCTGAAACGTCCCGGAGAATCCCACACACTGACCTGCACGTATTCAGGAACATCATAGAGATGCTCAGATCAGCTGGATCAGACAGGCTGAAGGAAAAGGACCATGTGGGCCGCACACGTTTCTGCTCCCAGTGGAACCATCATATATTATCCTTCATCAGTGCAGAACCGCTTCACTGTTTCCAGAGACAACAAGGATCAAGTGTATCTGCTGATGAGCAGCTTGAAGACGCTGCAGCATTATTATTGTGCTCAAAGAGCCACGGTGATAGAGGAAGCCACAGAGCTGAACTCAGCAGCAGTCTGACTCTCTCTGATGTTCAGTTACACTAAGAAATCATAACAACCTCCCAGGGTGTGAATTACACAGAGCCCAGAGACACGGGGGTGGGGGGCGGGGTCTGTTTGACCTTGGCCTCCAAAATGACTTGATACGGCCCTGTGGACTGACTTTTGAAGGTGATCTGAATGACATCAAATATATAAATGTTACACGCTTATAAATGACTGCTTTAGGTAAAAGCTGCAGTGGGATAAATCTACCTGTTCCTTTTTAAGCCTTTTGTTTTGTTTTTTATTTTTATGGGACTATTTTCCTGTCCCGTCTGTCTCTGATCTTCCTGCATCTCCTCTCAATTCTCCAGAAACACTCTTTCCTGGCTTCCTACTTTTAAACTAAGCAGATCGAAGGGATCCGAGCGCAAAAGTGCGCACTGCAAGGCTGCGCCATGAGCAAGGGCGTCAGTTTGTTGTCAGAATTGCTGGGGACAATAACCATACACTTGAGTGGGGTTTAAAAATTGCTGGGGACAATAAAGTAGGCTAGCACAGGGGTCGGCAATTCGCGGCTCTGGAGCTGCATGCGGCTCTTCCATCCATCTGATGCGGCTCTCTGTGCTTGTAAAATAATGAATGGATATTTAAATAAAATGTTTTATATTTTACTGCATTAATTTTACATCTGTATGCCAATTCTAAATGTAAAGATTGTCTGCGTAAACCTGAACAGGTCCAACCCGGTCTTACTGTGAGACCGGGTTGATGGGTCACGCTTGTGCGTAATCATATGCGCTGTCTGAGCTGAAGATGTGAGATTCTGGGCTTCTCCTCAGACGGCTCCTGGATGTGTCGCCACATTGGAGACAGGAACCAGTGCTATAGAGCTCCGGACCCCACGTGACTCTCAGTTAGTAGACGCCATTTTGGCAGGAAAAAAAAAGGTAAACAAACACGGATGTAACCATGAACGTGAATGGGATCCGCTTGGATTTTAATTCGTCGGAGCTTACTTCACACTTTAAAACCGAAGAAATCGTTTTATATAGTCAGAAATTAAGTAGACTAAACATCTCCGACCCTTACCGTGCCCCTGGGATACTTTTTAGAAACGCCAGAAGCTGTCGGAGCGGACAACACCGGACCTGGCCGGGGAAACCCTTGGGATTTCCCCGGAGGAGCTGGCTCCGGCGGCTGGAGAGAGGGAAGTCAGGGCCTCTCGGCTACTGCCCCCGCAACCCAACTCCGGATACGCGGATGAAAATGGATGGATGGATGGATAAATAACATAGATTTACATGTAAGTAGTTTAAATAGAGTGCTGTGCTGTTTGAATGTATAAACTGAACGCCAAGAGAAATCACTAGTCTGATTTTTTTTTTCGTGAATAAAATAAATATGTCAGTCAGGAGCATCTCAGGATCTGTCTGAGAGCTGTCTCGGTGAGACAGATAATAGCAATCCAAAGTGCTTTTTATGTGTAATCTGACAATTGATCAACCATTGCTTAAAAATGAAATACAGCTTAGCCGGTTAATTGCTGTGATCATAAAACACGTAAACGGCAGCACGCAGAACTCACGAGGCAACGTTTTACGTGATGTTTACTTGTTGCTATGAGTAATAAGACTGAAAAAGCCACGCCAAAATAAGTTTAGGAAGCCCACTAAGAATCGTAATAAAAGCATTTAAAATAAATACCATACACAGTTGAGGAAACGTTGGGTTAAGTACCTGATATGAAGTGGTCACTGCATAAGCAAAAAACTTTACTCTCGGGATTCCACAGTTTCATTTTAGCCCGGTCACTAGCGCGTTTTATCACAATGATCCAACGTTTGCGGCGCTCCGGATCTTGGGGAATCCTGTAGATGACTCATTCCTTATGTCGTCCGCGTCTGTTCTGCATCCTGGGGCACAACAGGAATCTACCATATTTCCCGTTTGATTGAGTTTTCTGACAATAACAAATAGTCCAGCTGCCGGCTTCTGCATGCCAATATGGCGCCGTTTCGATTTGAACTGTTGCATGCCGGGAGAAGTGACGTCAACTCCCGGAGCTCTATTCAGCCAAAGTTTCATAATCAGGGAACATTTTCTAAGTGACAAGTCTCTCTGAGAGACAGGGTTTGGAAAACTCTCGCTTCAGTGGGAGGAATCTTCCCGCATGCACTCTGGTTCTCTAGGGTTAATCAAGTTTAATTGTTTCTCTTTGCAACAATCTTCACAGGAAGGCAAAACAGTTAAATGGCAGGTTACAGATATTTCCATTTGACTGTTTATTTTGACAGATGAACTCAAGGATGTTGCTTGGTTTGAAAGAATTACCCCGACGCACACTGATGCGCATGGATGAGCTGACATTTTAATCGTTAATGCACATCGCGGAGGTAAAATATTCCCATCAGAACATCAGAGCTTTATACTGGACACTGTGTTCAGCGTGGCTCGGAGCGCCCACGGTGGACAGTGAGCTGAAGATCTGGGGTTCGCAGTGCAGTGCAGAACGGCGCATGCGATAAGATTTCCTCCCACTGAAACAGTCTGGAAACCCGGTCTCTCTGAGGGATGTGTCACTTGGAAAAATGTTCTTTTTATGAAATTATGAAACTTTGGCTGAACAGCGCTTGTTTCTGTCTCTAATATGGAGACGCATGACGCGTAGAGACATTTGATCACGCACAAAGTTTATGTGGAGCAGAAGCGGTCGGGCCACAGCAGGTGAAATGTTCCTAGCCTACATGAAGTGAAACTGTTTAATTGTAACATTAATATGTTACTGGACACGCTGGTCTGGTTGGTTAGACCAGTGTTTGAAGTGGAAAACACACACACACACACACACACACACACACACACACACACACACACACACACACACACACACACACACACACACACACACACACACACACACACACACACACAACAATTAAAATAATGCTGATAGCGTGGACTAGTAGACAGGTGATGGTTTACGTATTTAAATGATGATCAGGCTGCTGTAAAATGTAATCTCCATCCACATCCAGACACAATTATCCTCTATTCTTTCTCTATTTGCTCTGCTCTTGTCTGGGCTGACGTAGCTGACGGTGCGCGCGTCGCGCCTAACTAGCGGCTGATGCACATTTTACGCATTTGGAGAGGTGGGCTGGACGCTTTGCTTTTACTGGAAGATGGTCCACTTAACGCACGGGTGTAGACTACATATTAATGACAAATGAATGTAAATTAAATTGTGAGTTTTTACTTCATATTTTATAAATAAAAAGGATGGGGGAACACATTTATGACGTCTTTTTAAACTAAATTCTCTACGCCTGCTTCACTTAAGTCACTGCTTATTAAGGTCCGTCCAAAATTACCGTGGGAAACGGGTAATAATGGCTCTTTGATGGGAACAGGTTGCCGACCCCTGGATAAGATCTGAGCTGGTAAAACAAAAATCCTCATCAGCAGGCGTTTTTGAAAGTGGGGGGGACACAGCTGCCAATCACAAATGTTGCCGGGGACATGTCCCCGGCGTCCCCGGTTAAAATGACGCCCAGTGGCGGTTCTACATGGAATTACTCCCTGGGCGAGGCCCCCTTTGAGCGCCCCCCCAACCGCCCCCACCACCACCACCACACCACCTGCATGAACACACATGTTTTCTACAAACAGGCATGTTTTATTAGAACGACTATTGAACATTCATTTTTCTAAGTTGCACATATTTACATTAATTACTATGAAGTTGTCAGAATGTAAAGCAATATACATTATATACTGTATCAAAATATATAGAATTAAATATACAAAAACAACTAAACTAACTAAATATTAAGAATACAGGTGCTGGCCAGTAAATTAGAATATCATCAAAAGGTTGAAAATATTTCAGTAATTCCATTCAAAACGTGAAACTTGTACATTATATTCATGCAATGCACACAGACCAATGTATTTCCAATGTTCATTACATTTAAATTTGATATTCATAAGTGACAACTAATGAAAACTCCAAATTTGGTATCTCAAAAAATTAGAATATTCTGAAAAGGCTGAATATAGAAGACACCTGCTGCCACTCTAATCAGCTGATTTACTCAAAACACCTGCAAAGGCCTTTAAAAGGTCCCTCAGTCTTGTTTTGAAGGCACCACAATCATGGGGAAGACTTCTGACTTAACAGCTGTCCAAAAGACAATCATTGACACCTTGCACAAGGAGGGCAAGACACAAAAGGTGATTGCTAAAGAAGCTGGCTGTTCGCAGAGCTCTGTGTCCAAGCACATTAACAGACAGGCGAAGGGACGGAAAAAATGTGGTAGAAAAAAGTGTACAAGCTCTAGGGATAACCGCACCCTGCAGAGAATTGTGACGACAAACCCATTCAAAAATGTGGGGGAGATCCACAAAGAGTGGACTGCAGCTGGAGTCAGCGCTTCAAGAACCACCACGAGGAGACTCATGAAAGACATGGGATTCAGGTGTCGCATTCCGTGTGTCAAGCCACTCTTGAACAAGAAACAGCGCAAGAAGCGTCTCGCCTGGGCCAAGGACAAAAAGGACTGGACTGATGCTGAGTGGTCCAAAGTTATGTTTTCTGATGAAAGCAAGTTCTGCATTTCCTTTGGAAATCAAGGACCCAGAGTCTGGAGGAAGAGCGGAGAAGCACAGAATCCACGTTGCATGAGGTCCAGTGTAAAGTTTCCACCGTCAGTGATGGTGTGGGGTGCCATGTCATCTGCCGGTGTTGGCCCACTCTGTTTCCTGAGGTCCAGGGTCAATGCAGCCGTCTACCAGGAAGTTTTAGAGCACTTCATGCTTCCTGCTGCTGACCAACTTTATGGGGATGCAGACTTCACCTTTCAACAGGACTTGGCACCTGCACACAGTGCCAAAACCACCAGCACCTGGTTCAAGGACCATGGTATCCCTGTCCTTGATTGGCCAGCAAACTCGCCTGACCTTAACCCCATAGAAAATCTATGGGGTATTGTGAAGCGGAGGATGCAATACGCTAGACCCAACAATGCAGAGGAGCTGAAGACGACTATCAGAGCAACCTGGGCTCTCATAACACCTGAGCAGTGCCACAGACTGATCGAGTCCATGCCACGCCGCATTACTGCAGTTATTGAGGCAAAAGGAGCCCCGACTAAGTATTGAGTGCTATACATGCACATTCTTTTCATGTTCATTCTTTTCAGTTGGCCAACATTAGAGAAACAAACATTTTTTCATTGGCCTTTAGAATATTCTAATTTTCTGAGATACCAGATTTGATGTTTTCATTGGTTGTCACCTATAAATATCAAAATTAAACGTAATAAACATCGGAAATACATTGGTCTGTGTGCATTGCATGAATATAATGTACAAGTTTCACGTTTTGAATGGAATTACTGAAATATTTTCAACCTTTTGATGATATTCTAATTTACTGGCCAGCACCTGTAATATATAATAAATATTCTAAATAGCAAAAATATTTCACACATAACAAACTAAAGATAATCACTACAGCATTGCACTTACAACAGAAAACACAAACTTAAATTAAAACCTAACCTTGATGCAACGTCATCAATAATGTCATCATATGAAATCTGCTGCCCTACTGAGTGATTGATACTAATCAGAGCCAGGTTAGTGAGCCGCCCCTGAAACATAGGTGACCTCAGGTATGACTTGATCAAGTTTTGAAAAGCTCCTCTCAGCTTGAGCCACAGTGACTGGCAGAGCAGTCCAAAAGTTGGGGTAGATCTCCAATAGATCTTTATCATGATCCATAATATTTTACAATTGCCTCTGAAATTGTAATTTAAACTGACATAAAAAACTGTAGACTACCAAAAATGCCAACTTTTACAGAACAAACCAGGTAAAAAATAATCAGTGCAGCCATCTGCAATAAATAAACAGGATAGTTAGTGGTGACTGGGGAGTTTTCTTCTGCTTGTAGAGTTGTTTTATTTATTATTATGTGAACATGATCAACATGTGTTTGTTGTTGTTCAGGCAGGCCACAGGCTGCAGCGAGCATTTAACAAATCCTAGTTTGAATCAGTAAAAAACGATTCAAGGAATTTATTCGAACCATTTGAATATTCGTTTCAATAGCTCTGTTAGCAACTAGTTGACCGAATTTAACCGTTAAAATCCCAGTTAACTGGTTCAAAAAATTGAAAACATTCATCATGAGAGCGAACATACCTTTATTTTTCTCCTCTTTTTTTCTTTTTTATTCCTGAATCGGGCACCTGTTGGTTTTAGCCTTTTTATGTTCATCTCTTCTGTTTGGCTCCTGACTCAGTAAGTTTCCTTTAGTCAGGACTAAACAATTTGACCTTGATGGGGGGGGTGACCACAAAATCGTTTTGTTTTTCCTTTTTTTATTCGGCCATTTCACACAATTCAGAAACACCTGAAAGAATGATAGGCCTGTGTTTATGATATTATGAATGAAATGTGGAAGAACATCAAGATGTGATCGACTTTAGCCATGTTGATACAGTTGATTCAGCTGCCCTCTCATTTCATTTGGACCCACCCAGAGGTGAATTCCCCCGCCGCACCCCTCCCCTTCCTCTTCTTCATACACACACGGTGCACAAAGCGCCTGCAGCTGCAGGCAAGTGGTGCTCGCTGCAGAACCACAAAGGTGGAGCTGCACCAGAAGGTGGAGCTGCACCAGGGTCAGCCCCGCCCATTCCAGAGTCAGCCCCGTCCATTCCATCAGAGTCAGTACAATTCCTTCCAGTTGTCAGACTTGATAGCATTCTGGAACCAAAGAGGGTTTTATAGCTAAAAAATACAAGATTGAGGACGGAGGTGAGAAGTTAACTGAACAGTTTTTGTAAAGGTATAATTAAAAATCTAACTTTTGGAACTTTTTATCATGTTATATTGTCATTTCCTCATAAGAAACACGCCAAAGCCATTTTTGGCCTCATTCATGCATTTTCCTCCCATCTCAGCTTCAATTTGGTCTCCTCCCCTGAAGTGGGTCTGGTCTTGGTTCTCAAATCTGGATATTCTGTGAATTTTCTGACAAATTATTTCTGAAATGACTTCTACTGAGACACCGCCAATAAACCATACATCCCATCTCCAAAGACACACTAGATAGGACAATTCCATGTTACGCCACATACTTCACATCAGATGTGGTGGGGTAGAGGCTATGGAGGCAGGTTTGCATGCAGTTTTGCGCAGGTTCGACTCCCAGTGGCAGAAATCTTAGATAGATTACAACCCCTTTTCTTAATTTCTAGCTACACTTGCCAGTACTGTTTACAACAATTTACTGGTATACCGTTTACAATATAATGACTAATGTGTTTATTTATTTATTCGTTTATTTAGCCATTGTGAGTCCATTTGTGAGCAGAGTTTCAACTAAAATGCTGTTTAGGAACGACCAAATTCAAAGAACTTTTAGAGACATAAATATTTAGCTGAAAATAAACATTACAACTAAAATATAAACAAATTCAATGTTTCAGCTGGCTAAATAGATTGACGCCGACATCACCGAGAATCGAACCAGCATCTGCTGAGGGGGAAGCAAAACTTACTTCAGATGATCTTACCACTGGACTACCAGAGCACATATAACAATCACCCATGCTGTTGCAGCACATTATTGTTAGAGCGGCTGTGGGCAGATATCTGCTAAAAGAAATCGTTTCATTTCAAGATGTATTCAGGCTTTGTCATGTAGCAAGTTATATTTATCTTGTTTAATTGGAGCATAGAACATAGCATTAACATTTGTAAAGTAGTAATAGCCATAATTCATGTGGGTCAGGTTAGTTTGCGATGAAGTTGGAAAACAAAAACGGAAGTCAGTGGGCTAGGCTGAGTTTGCGTGAATGGGCGGGGCTGACCCTGGTGCAGCTCCACCTTATGGTGCAGCTCCGCCTTTGTGGTTCTGCAGCGAGCACCCTCTCGCTGCAGGGGGCGCCAACTTGCTGTTTCCAATCCAGACACTGTCATATGACAGACACTGTCATATGACAGATAATAGAAAACCTCGGTGCGGCACAGATTTCCTTTTTTTTTTTTTTTTTTTTTTTTTTTTTTACTCAGCGCTTGTGCGCCCCTTTTGTGTCATGAAAAAATGCCGCCCCGGGCAACTGCCCTGTCTGCCCGTGCCTAAAACCGCTATGACGCCTATGCCGGGATGACCAAGAACCTTCATCACCATTATTAACATTATTAAACAAATTCTTACCTGCTTTAAACGTCTCATGTCCAGTGAGTCAGATGCAGTAGTCCCGTTGAGAAATGAGTGAAAGTCATCTAAGTTCGAATCGTTGTTCACACACACACACACACACACACACACACACACACACACACACACACACACACACACACACACACGCACGCACACGCACACGCACACGCGCACACACACACACACACACACACACACACACACACACACACACCTCCCCCTACGGACTAGCAATTTCCTGTGTGAGGGGGGACGGCAGGTGAGGAACTGAGGTCATTCATATGACAAACAAGCTTCCTTCCGTGTGGCTGAAAGAGAACCGCTGCTGCTGCTTCCGGGTCTGGAGACGTTTGTGTCGCCGGATGCCCCTTCACTTCGCTTCAGGTCTGTTTATAACGTCGTGTGACCAGCAATGCGTCCGATTCCTGAGGAATTAACGAGTCTCATCTCAGGTAACATGTATTACTCTCCTGAACTACCTTCTGCTGCTTTTAACGAACATTAAAAAAAAGCTAGACTGCATTAAAAAAGAGGAAGCATACTCGGGTCGTTTCTTTTTCTCACTCCCGTCTCATGCTACATCAGCTGCTTCTGGTCTTCTCTGAGATGAAACATCACTTTCATCTGTTTTTAGATTTGGAACATTTCATCTCAGATGGGTTGAAGGGAGAAACTCTAAGCAAGAAGGCAAAGGAGAAGAGGGAAAGCTTCATTAAACGAATCAAAGAGGTCAAACTGAGGTACAGCACACATCAAAATCATTTCCCTATTTTGAAATTTTCACAGAATCCTCAATACCTGCGCTTATCCCAACAGTTACCCCCAAGAGTTCGAGGACAAAGGTGAGTCTGTAAGCACGGACGTAATTTTCACTTTAGAAGTGAGGGGGACACGGGGGGGGGGGGGGGGGGGGGGGGGGGGGGGGGGTGGGCTGTTGGGGGATCTTTACAGTATGCTCTAATGGGAAACTGGCTTCAGCACAAACGGCTGTTTTCTGCTTCGTCCTAGAGCTCAACCAGTGTCAATTTAAAAATAGCGTAATATTGTTTTTGGATGGTAAAAAGTGCAGGGGTCAAAACTTGACTTTGGAAAAAGTGGTGGGGGGGGGGGGACATGTCCCCCCTGTCCCCCCCCCCCCCCCCAAAATTACGTCTATGTCTGTAAGGCACAGTTTTGGCTTGCTTTTAGCACCCCCTAGTGTCTGTTTGGTAGAACCAAAAGCGAAACGCTGCGAGTTGTCTTTTTAACCATCGACATGAATACGTAGATGCCCCACTGGGCGCTGGAGAGCGTAACAGCATCGCCGCCAGTGGTGTGAGTTTAAAATTTTGGTTATGCACATTTTAAAACTTGCGTGCCGTGTTGTGGGAATGTGAGTATTAGTAACGAGGTGGCTTTTTCATAAATTAGCACTATTAACATGTTTATCTATTTGCTTCCTTACAAAATGATATAAGAGATAATAAATAAAAGAAACAACAGTTTATTTGAAATAAAAAAATCTGTTTGTAATTTTGAGTCACATTCCCATTTTTTAAACCAACAGCAAAATAGTTCAAGCAAGCAGAAACATTTATATAAAAAAAACTCACTAAAACAATAGTCTGCTAATGCAAAACGTGTCAAAAACGGAAATTATTTCATCATTATTTCATCATATATCTAGTCAAAAACAAGTTCAGGGCTGTACGTTAACATTTTTAGCTTCTAGCACTTGTGCTACAGAAGTCGTAGGTTTTGTAGCACAGAACAAAAAGTTGTAGCACCAGCATAAAAAAGTGTGTTACAATCTCTAAAAACCAAAAGTAGTTCTTACAATTACTTAAACACACCGACAAACACCATAGTGTATATAATTAAAACACAATAACAACCACCAAAGCAGATTACTGGTAGCATGAGTCTGACTCACGTACTTTACAATAAAGCTGATCCTGAAATATCTTCAGACATTCTTGTCAGTGTAATTTTGAAAAGAACATTTTTTAAAATTCAAATTAGTGTAGATTTGTTCATTACCGGGGTCCGTCCTCATTGACAGACATAGAAGAGTAGACTCCACGCCGATCGCTACTGATAGTTGCATTTTCGTGGTCTACTTTTATAAACTGTATGGTTAGCAGCATGTTTTAGCTAAGGCTTTAGCTCTGTGTTGATCTGGAGCTTTCAAACTGTGGTAGAGTGCTGTACATAAAACTGTTCACGCATGCCAGAATGACAGCTCACTTTATTAACCATCAGGATATGTATGAGTTTGGTTTACGTTCACACACAAAAAAAAGAACAAGTTTATGAATGATTGTTCAGTGAACTTGTATGGGTACAAGACCACCGTGTTGTATTAATAAACCTGTCCCTTCACAGATGAACCTTGGTTTGGTGCAGGTTGTGCTTTTGTTTCTTTTCAATTCAATTCAATTCAAGTTTATTTATATAGCGCCAAATCACGACAAGAGTTGTCTCAAGGCACTTCACATAATAAACATTCCAATTCAGGTCAGTTCATTAAGCCAATCAGAAATAATGGTTCCTATATAAGGAACCCAGCAAATTGCATCAAGTCACTGACTAGTGTCAGTGACTATACCGCAATCCTCATACTAAGCAAGCATAAAGCAACAGTGGAGAGGAAAACTCCCTTTTAACAGGAAGAAACCTCCAGAGAATCCTGGCTCAGTATAAGCAGCCATCCTCCACGACTCACTGGGGATAGAGAAGACAGAGCACACACACACACACACACACACACACACACACACACACACACACACACACACACACACACACACACACACACACACACACACACACACACACACACACACACACACACACACACAAGTAATGTGTCTATAGTTACATTGTGATATCTTAGTAAATATTCTATTTGGTGAAAGATAAATTTTATTGTATTCATCCTAGTGGAGCTATAATTAAACGGGTAAACTAATATTAGCACATCCAACGTCAAGGAAACAAAAAGTTATTATCAGGAGAGGGAGAATGTTTTAGTGGTTAGCAGCAGTGTGCTAGTCGATGGCCCCCTCCATGAGGCCACCACAGCTCAGCAGAACGTCGTTGTAGCTTCTTCTGGGGAGAAAAACACAGAGAAAATAAAGTTAACAGCTGAAATTGCAGAAAATAATACAGTTAAAGAGCAGACTGTAGAAGAAAGCAGTAGAGTGTGAAAAGTGGTCAGTGTATCCTCCAGCAGTCTAAGCCTATAGCAGCATAACTACAGAGATAACTCTGGGTAACCTATCCTATTTAGATGGAGGCATGTTGGAGGCAGGGCAAGGGAGAGCCGTCTTTACCGACTGTACACTCCACCTCCCTGTACTCCCCCACTTGTTCAGATCTAGGCTAACATCAGATTTTAATCATAGGCCCTATCAAATAAAAATATTTTGAGCCTATTCTTAAAAGTAGACAAAGTGTCTGCCTCACGGACTAAGGCTGGGAGCTGGTTCCACAGGAGAGGAGCCTGATAGCTAAAAGATCTGCCTCCCATCCTAATTTTAGATATTCTGGGAACCACCAGTAGACCTGCAGTCTGAGAGCGAAGTGCTCGGTTAGGAACATATGGAACAATCAGATTCCTAATGTATGATGGAGCTTGATTATTAAGAGCTTTATATGTGAGAAGGAGGATCTTAAAATCTATTCTGAATTTAACAGGTAGCCAGTGTAGGGAAGCTAAGACAGGAGAGATATGATCTCTCTTTTTAATTCTCATCAGAACTCTAGCTGCAGCATTTTGGACAAGCTGAAGACTTTTAACTACATTCTGTGGACTTCCTGAGAGTAATGAATTACAGTAATCCAGTCTTGATGTAATAAATGCATGAACTAGTTTTTCAGCATCACTCCTGGAAAGGATGCTTCTAATCTTAGCAATATTCCGAAGTTGGAAGAAGGAAATCCTACAAACCTGATTAACCTGGGATTTGAATGACATGTCCTGGTCAAAGATAATACCAAAGTTCCTTACTTTGTTCTCTGAGAATAATGTAATGCCATTCAGGTCAGGCGATTGGCTAAGCAATTTCCTTTTCTGGATTTCTGGTCCAAAGATGAGAACTTCCGTCTTGTCTTGATTGTCTTGAGCAAAAAGTTTAGAGTCATCCAATTTTTTATGTCCTCAAGACAAGCCTGTAATCTACCCAACCGATTAGGTTCATCAGGGTTAATGGATAAATATAACTGAGTATCGTCAGCATAACAGTGGAAGTTTATCCCATGCTGTCTAATGATTTTACCAATTGGGAGCATATATATAGTAAAAAGAATTGGTCCAAGCACTGAACCCTGTGGTACTCCGCAAGTAACCCTGGAGTATGAAGACGATTTTTCATGTACACATGGTTTGTTTTTCTGCTCTGTTAAAGGTTCAAAGTAGGACTGCAGCTACTGGATATTTTAGTATTTGAATATTTTATTAAATCTTCTGATAAATTGCATATTCTATTTGACAGTGACTCAAGTGAAACGAGACCCTGGTCTGCTGCTAAAAATATGAAACAAAATAAAAAAAATTATTAGGCTGAAATGTCAGACTCTTGTTATTAAAGGCTCCATAGTATGTATTAAATTGGTGTTGTCTAGTTCCCTGTTTTTCATCTGATATTTATAGTTAGATATTTTATGAAAAAAAGTACCTACATTTTAAGTTTGTATTAATATCACTCATCCTAGTCAAAATAACATATCTAAATATATCCACAGTTAAACTATGATCAGTAGAATGTAAAAATTAACATGTTCAGTAGTAAGCTACATGATAATAACATTTAATTTCTGCTGCTAAAAACGTAATTGTGACATCTATTTTGTTCGGGTTAACAATAATCCAGTTTGAATTATGTTTGAAGCTAGACACATTTGGGAATTACATGCTATGGTGGCTTGCCATAACCTGCTGCAGTGTGTGGAGCAGACGCGAAGCAGCAACTAGACAGCAGCGGTTCTGCAGCATAGGGAGCCTAAGTAACGCCCATCTACTTCCGCACCACGGCTCCCTGGAAAAACGAAAAAATGAATGCAAGTCAATGGAGATAAAAACGCGATTTTCTAATTCCACTTGTTTTGTGTCATGGATTTGATGTATGTGTATTTTAAAGATGCATTTTGATACCAAGAACGTGCTTATTTTCAAACTGGGTGAAACGCTATTTTAGGTTACGTGTAAAAATAAGTCCAGGACTACAAATGCGCTTCACGAAAGTGACGTCATCGAACCGGACACGGAGGAAACTGAGGGAAAAGGGCTGTAAGTTCAGCAAACTTCCCACAGGAGGAAAGAACCACCATAAATCTGGTCATGTGGTAAGTAGCAGCTACGCTGGGGGGAGGAGCTTATGTGGTGATGTCACAGATACAACGTGCCGATTTCTGGTTTGTAGTCACGCTAGTTACAAACTTTTACAAGCTGATAAATCTCAAATATGTGACAGGTGTGGTCGCAACACCCATCATTACTTTTCATTTAAATTGCAGTACAACATGTGTGTGATCCAGGGCGTGAGGCAGAGCGGGTTAGAAAATAGCATTTTTAGCACCGTTGACGCGTTCATTTTGTCGTTCTTCCAGGGCCGACCGGAAACGGAGGAGACTTAGGCTCCCTATAGTGCTGCAGACAGCTAAGAAAAGCAGGATGATGGGAACTTTTCTTCTGCTTGTAGAGTTGAGATATTCTTAGTTTCACAACCATCGTTTTTTGTTTTGTTTTTTGTTTTCAGAACCCCGCTTCATCGTGAGCCTGCTACCCGCTAGCATTAGCTAATCTGCCCAAACTTTGGACTGTTTCTGCCTTTGTGTCTTATTTGCTGGTTTTTCTGTTTTCCTCTGCAGCACCTAGATTAACACACTGTGTGCCAGTGAAAGGCATCTTCCTTACACAATAACAAGCAACTTACCTTTGTTCAATAAAGGGGGAAAAAGTAACTTGAATAGATATCGCAAGAGTGCTACGTCTAAAAATATTTTATCACACAGTTGTTTTCATCGCTGGCATGTACAGCCCTGAAGTTCTTCAGAAGAAACACTAATTAAGAACATGTTAACATTATGAATGTATTAAAAAAACGCCTCATTGCTCATAATTCTAACCATTTACTTTCGCAGTTTGTGGTTGTGGTGACAGAGCATGCAAATCTCTTTTCGGCACAACACGGTCCGTTTCCAGATGCGCTAACTACGTATCACCACTAAGGGATGCCAATTTACCATTTTTATGCATCACACAACTTGAATAATCCAGCGGACTCTACCGGCAACTGCGTTGTTTCAAAAACATGCTTAATATTAACCAGCAGTAAAACAAGCAAAGCCAATTTCATGAAGTCAAAAGCCTAAAGTCTTACCTTTGTACCTGATCTGAGCTGGGACTCTGCCCAGTTTCTGTCACAAACCTCTGCGACCAAAGGCTCTCCTATTCTTTGTATTGGAGTAGGATCCAGCCTACATGCGGCAGTTATAGCGCAGGTCTATGATAAAGTCTGCTGCGCCCAAAAGAAACAGGAAATACGTCACAAGGAGATTAAGTCGTGATAAAAGTGAGGACATTTTTCATTTACACTTAAATACAGTTTATTCAGTACTTATCTGTATAATGTATAGATCGTTTAGTTGAATTTTCATGTTTAAAAAAAAATATTTAGTTATCCTATGTTTTTTTTTCTTCATGTGAATCTGGTGAGGCAGCACCCTAGCGCCCCCCTTTCGATGAGCCGCCACGGGTCGCCGCCAAGTTTGATGGCTTCCCCAGTCTCCAAAACTCAACTGGACTCAATGTAGGATGAGCAACTAAACCTGTTCTTTTTGCAGCCTATGTTTGCAACAACCGCACACTATTGAAAACAAGTTACATGGGATTAGTATTGACCTTTTTAGCCTACCTATTGGAATTTATATATTTATTTATTTGATTACGTTTGTATTTTCACTATTATTCCATACCTTGTGTCTGATTTTGTGATAAGCACAATTAAATGTGTTTTAATTCCATGCTTTTGTTCTTTTTAAACACAGAAACAGTTTTGTTTACCTGTTTTGTAGCTACAGTTTCGCCGACAGCTGCCGGCTTCTTCAGGCTGACGCTGATGGTGGCGCGTCACTTCCTTCTCAGTTTATCTGCGGGCAGTAGAGGACGTTGTCGCCCTCTACTGCCCGATCTCCCCTCTCCGACACACAAGAGCAGCAAAAGAAGAAGCAGAAAGTACAATAAAAAAGTCAGCCGTAACAGATCATTGCTTAAGAGAAAACCATATAATGGACTGGGACAGCACACGGATCATAACCACCGAACAACAAAAATACAAAAGATGGATCAAGGAAGCAATCGAGATAAGGAGACGTGGATGTGGGACCATGAACAGGGACGACGGAGTTTACACGCTGGACCACGCATGTGACTGCATCGTCGGAGAGGGGAGAGCGGGCAGTAGAGGGCGACAACGTCCTCTGCTGCCCGCAGATAAACGGAGAAGGAAGTGACGCGCCACCATCAGCGCCAGCCTGAAGAAGCCGGCAGCCGTCGGCGAAACTGTAGCTACAAAACAGGTGAACAAAACTGTTTCTGTGTTTAAAAAGATCGAAAGCATGGAATTAGAACCACGACACAGCAAGAACACACCTAAGATAAATATGTTTTAGTTGTGTAAACACCTTCCTCAGTATAAATGAATGTACTGGGGGCGAATGGAGACCCATCCAAGATGGAAGCTGCCACTACAGCAGCTCTAACTGGCAGTGCCAGTCTATGGTGTGTCTACATGTATGATGTCTGTGTTTTTAACACTTTATTCTAACTGCTGAAATTTCTCCCCAGCCTTCATTAATGTCAACAGGATCGGTTAATCACTAAATCAAATCAATCGGCTGTGTTTACAATCTAAAACACGCAGGAAAGGTGCTATAAGCAGACTGTAGTGCCAGGCACAGACATCATATACGTAGACACCCTGTTGACTGGCGCTGCCTACTGTGTTGACGTAGTGGCCGGCCGCCATCTTGGATGGGTTTCCATTTGCCCCCAGTGCATTTATTGCTGCTGAGGAAGTTGCTTATCCAACTAAAAACACAGTCTGTTTTATCATGATAATTAAAGTATAAATAAATATTAAACAAAACAAATAAAATGAAATAAAAATACAAAATCCCAACAGGGAGGCTAGAAAGTCAATAGTAATCCCACGTGATCTGTTTTCAATAGTACGCCAGTTGTTGCAACTGAAGGCTGCACACGAAACGGGCATAGTTGCTCACTCTGCATTCACTCCAGTTGGGTTTGGAGAGTAATGAACCCATCCAATATGGCAGCAATGCTATTTTACTCTCCAGCGTCCAATGGGGTGTCTACATATTCAAATCCAGGCATGTCAGCTCCATTTTTTCCAAGTCCACAGGTAGTCTATGCCTTTAAAATGAATAATCCTGCAGGGTTGAAAACATTTACACATGTGGTTTCAACAAAAATATCATGACGAGGAATGAAAAAAAGTCACTCAAAAGGACTTTATGTTGATTATTAGTTTAGTTTGTCAGCTGGAGACCTGCGAAAACACTTGGAGAAACTCAGACTGACACAGCCTGTTGTTACTCAGCTTGTGTGTTTGTTTCACTGCAGGTGGAGACGACTCCGAGGATGAGGATGATGCTGACAGCAACAACGATGGGGCGTCGCTGCAGTCTGAGCGCACAGACAAAGATGAAGAAGCTTATGAAGGTAAGACCCGGGGACGACTTGTGTTTGCAAACGAGGCATGAAAAAAATGTTCATTCCAGTTCTCTGCTTCCCAGAGAACTGGACTGAGTGGGACAGCCTGGGCGAACTTCCTACTTTAAACTTGGAACTGTCCTTAGGAAGCACACACACACACACACACACACACACACACACACACACACACACACACACACACACACACACACACACACACACACACACACACACACACACACACACACACACACACACACACACACACACACACACACACACACACACACACACACACACACACACACACACACACACACACACACACACACACACACACACACACACACACACACACACACACACACACACACACACACACACACACACACACACACACACACACACACACACACACACACACACACACACACACACACACACACACACACACACACACACAATTTGAGTGTTTTTCTGCTCTGCCACAGTGGGACTTGAAGTTGTTGCCATGGCTGTAATTTGTGTAAAAACGGCTTTAATCCAACTTGCTTCATGAAAGCAATCAAAACAATATTTCATCTTTACGACAGAGAAGCAGGGAGATCCTGGTGGAATGGTGGAATGGTGGTCAGGGTCAGGGCTCTGGAGTTTATGGTCTGTAAGCAGCTGCTGGGTTTATGGCCACTCGCTTCACACAAAGCAAGTTTGACAGTATTTGGACTTTTGCATTGAAGCTGCACACCGTGAGGAACACCTCCTTTACCAAGGGGGAGTGGAGAACTCGTGGCTGATTCAGTTAATAATCATCAAACAAACAAATGCACACTAAGCAAGCTTTGGCCTGAACCTCATGCCAACTTTCACTTTTAACAATGTTTGTGCCACCTCTGCAGGTGCTCAGCAGTTCCCACCTGTCGCAGCTCAGGACTTAACGTGTGTCATTAAAGGGTTTCTGGAGAAACGCAGAAAAGGTCTGTGTCACACTGATGAACAGAAAAGATTTCCAACATAAGCTCTAACATCCAGCAGTGGAACTCTTGTTTCACAATTTACACACAAAATGGCTCTAGAGGAGCATGCATGACACAAATAGCGTCTATGTCGCAGAAGCTGAACATTGCACATTTCTGCATAGCTCACGTGGTAAATATGTCCTGTGCATGTTTTCTTTCGGTCTGTGAAAAAAACAGCGCCCTAACTGATAAAAAACCTCAACAAAACAGGTCTACATCCTCTAGATTTGTTTGTTTCTTATCTTGCACAGATCACAGCTTCTTTGGCACGGAGTGGCAGAAGAGATGGTGTGCTCTGAGCCATCACACCTTCTACTATTACGGCAGCGAGAAAGGTACAGCCCAGTCTTTTTTACATCTCCTTGCACTTGTTGTGTCCTGTCATTAGTGATGACTTCCTGTTACCAGACAAGCAGCAGAAGGGTGAGTTCAGCATCGATGGCTACACCGTCAAAATCAACAACACGTTGAGGAAAGATGCGAAGAAAGACTGCTGCTTTGAAATTTCAGCTCCAGACAAGCGAGTCTATCAGGTTCTCTTTTTAAACCCTTACTTGTCATGTAATGTGTTCCAAACACAGTAACAAAATAATTTCAGTCATCTCATTCTACGTGATTAAAACGTCTAAATGAGTGTTTCTAACACTCAGGTTCCTCCATGTGAAACATTCCTTTTTCCATGATTGAACAATGTATTTGTTTATGGTAATTAATGTTAATATTTCAGTCTACAGTTCTCTTTTTTCCCATTTACATTAGTTCTGTGCGTCATCGGTGAAAGACGCAGAGGAATGGGTCAGACAGATCGACTTTGTGTTGAAAGGTGAGGCGTGCTCCTGTCAGAATCCGTTTTGATCTTCTGGCCATTAAGAGTAAAATGTACTTTTTGTTAGTACTCTAAACAATTAATCATTGTTTGTTGTTTGTCTGCATTACTCAATCCTGATTGATCCCATTTTCCATTTAGATATGTCAGGAATCATCCCAGAGGAGGATGAGGAGCAATTCATGTATGACGATGTTGGGAATGTTGGAAGTTTTGCAGAACCCGATGAAATCTATGAAGAACTGCCAGGTTTCACCATGCTGCCTTCTAATCTTCATCACATGTTGCACCATTATTTGTAAAATACTGAATATTTCTGGTAAATTTTCAAGCCCACTCATGCACGTGCGTTTTCATTCTTCCTACAGAGGAGGAAGGACCTGCTCCAGCAAAACCTCCCCCAAAAGTCGACCCTGTGAGCAAACCCGCTGCTGCTGCTGCTGTGGCAGGTACACAACGACTTTAGGAGCTAAACGCGATAAACAACTTGTTCTGAGCAAAACAACTTCTCTGTGGCCACAGCTAAGAAGAAGTGGTATTTACAGAGGAAGTTTCTGAAAGCAACTGAAAGTTTACACAACTCTGGAAATAACTTCACCCAACTTCCTTTTTATAGGAAATAGCACTGTATTTGTCCCAGAACTGCTGTTCTGTTTTTCTTTTGTAATAGATTACCAGGCAGGGTGAACTAAAGCGATATGTGGGAACACCAGCTGCCAAGACCCTTTATGGAGTTTGAAATCCTCGCTGCCTTTAAAGAGTTTGCTGGGTTATTCAGTCCCGGGGAAGCTGAGGAAGTCCCTTCTCCCTCCTCACACCCACTGTTTAGAAGCACCAAGTAACCGATTACAGCTAAATACTTACAAATATCAGTATTTGAAAGTAAAGCAGCAGGACAGAATCGACAAGATTCTGTAAAATGGTTCTTTCATTTCTATGGAGTGGGCAGGACTCCCGGAAGCACCTGTTTTGTTTTGGCTTCCAGGTTCCAGTTGAATGTCTGGTTTATGTTGATGAGAATCTGGGATGAGGAGTGCCAGGGATGAAGGATAAGGAAGATTGTGAGATAAGAAGGGACTGTGGGGAGACAGGAGATGGAGAGCAGTGGGGAGAAAGGGACAAACCAAAACCTCGAAAACAATCTTATCTTTCTGTCCATCCAGTTGACAGGAGCACAGACTATCCCAACTACTACCAGGGCTTATGGGACTGTGTCGGAGACTGCCCTGATGAGCTGACCTTCAAACGTGGAGAGGTCATCTACATCCTGAGTAAGGTATGGAAGGAGAGAGGGTTTTCCTTTGTGCCTTGATGCAAAATGGAAGCAAAGATGGTTCAGATCTGGCCTCAGCCCAGCTAAAATCAGTTTCTTGGTGGCCCTTAGAGGAACGAACCTCTGGGATCTGCTACTGGCAGCATCTGGCCCGGTGCCTGAGGTGGACATCTAATGCTAAGAGTCAGGCTGGGTTTGGTTTTTCTTTCTTAAACAGCCTGATGAGGATTAGTGGTGTCACTACGGAAACTGGCAGAGGTCGAGCTTAGCTGGCAGGCGTCACCATTCCATCACCTCTATGGGGACAGCTTCAGCACTCAGTTAGTGCTGCCATGCCAGGGGCTGAACACACACACACACCTTATTTGCATCTCCCTCACCTCTCCAAATAGGAACATGTGTTCTCAGGAAACCCAGCCTCAGTATTTGGAGAGGTGAGGACGTGTGGTGGACATACGGGCTCTGAAGCTTGTTCGATGAAACTGAGGGTCTTTTGTGCTGAAGGAGTTGGTGTGAAGACCAAATGTGGTTTTGTGATGTTTGGGACATAATTTTTGAACACTTGTCTAACACCAGTAGTGGAATTGAAGGTTTTTGCAAACCCGTTGAAAGGTGTTTCATGGTGCCTGTTTATATTTCCTGTCTGGTTTCTGTGGAGCACACAGGTCCAGGTCCTGTTTAAGAGTCAAGTCTGCCATCTAGTGGCAACAAAGAGCAAAGATAGAATAGATGTTTTTATTTAGAAGTATAATAATGATTGAGATATTTACCAGATATTATACTAGAATGTGAAACAGTTTAGAGTAGAACTTGTTTTTATTTACATGGGGAAGAAATGAGTGAAAAAACGTAAAACTACAAAGAAAGCCTTTCACAAGTTTGGATGAATACATATGTATTTATTATCTTGCAAATAGAAATAAATAAAGTCTTGAATACAATAAAAATGCACCAGTTGTTGTATTTTAAAGGCTTGAATTAATTAAAGAACTTTCCAGATCTTTATTTTCTGTTGACCGATCAGTTACTGGAGAAAACCGCGTCCTTTACTTTGACCAAATGCTTGTTTTATGATCTGGTTCGGTGTTTGGAAAATGACCAAGAATGAAGTTACCCCTTCTCTAACTGGGAGTGCCATTAGCTGAAACCTTGGTGTTGGGGGTTGTGGCCCACCATGGGGGCAATGACCATAAAACCCGTCTGGACTGCAGCAGCCAGCTGCAGCTAAAAGCACAGCCGTCTCCTTCCCTCTTCCACAGACCCCCTTTCTCCCTCGCTTCTCGTATCCCTCCCCCATTCCAGAGATGGGTGTGTCATTACAGCTGCAAAGACCCCCACTTCGACTGAAGGAGGGCATGCTGTCCAGAAGTGCTGCCCTGGGGGGTGGGTGGGTGAAACAAATCGTGAATCAGTGTCAGAGCTGATGTTCTCATCTAACTAATGCTACCAGAGCTTTGCAAGTAATGAAAGACAGAAGCATGCTTTCAGCCAGTTTCGGGTGTTTGCGTTAATGTGTGTGCAGTCACAGTGTGAGGTGACCCGTGTCCACAGATTTGTGTCGTGTCCAGCTCTCACTCCTTACTTGTCACTTGGTCTAAAACACGGTGAGGTGTTGCCGTCTTCAAAGGCTTTTCACAGCAAGCCACAATCTGCACTCATGACTCGCACACAAAACACGTTTACACACGATCCAAGAGTTAGATCTAAGATGTCCTTTTTATTTTTTAACCACAGCTACATAATGTTTTTATTTCCAAACGATGGCTTCTGAAACCTTTTTACTCTTCCTGTTGGGTTGTGACTCTACCCACATGCCTGTCCGCTGGTCCCGACGCTGTTGTCTTCTCATACATAGTGCTACCACATGGTTCCTTACATCTATTACACTGATGCAGGAAGTACTGGATCACAGATGTGGCTCCCTCTTGTCTCAGAGTTTTGTCTTGCTATGTTGTTCAGCTCTGTCTTTATTCAGCCTTGTCAGAATTTGATCTCTATCACTGATCCATACCTCTGGAAGGACTTTGATGTGAGGTCAGCCTCTTGTACGGAGAGGGACAGACGGTTGTTCTCCCCTCGTCTCAGATCTCTCCTCATAATGTTTCCCTCTCATCTCAGCATGCTGACTGCCGTTTGGAGCTATTACATGTCGAGCTGTGCCAGATTTATGTGCTCTGTAGTGTGTGTGTGTGTGTGTGTAGTATTATATCTGAAAGTAGGTAAGGTTAGGGAATGACTTAAAGAGACTATGTGTAGTTTTTACTGATATTCTCTGGAAATATCCATCGAAATCTTGTTGACTATGAATGGAGTGATGCCCAGTTTTGTGCCATTCAACAATACAATGTGCAGTATTTGACACTGTCTTTCCACCCTCTTAAGTACATTATCTGCCATAGGTATCTCTCACACTCCATTTAAAGGGACATTTTACAACTTTTTCATATTTTAAATCATTTTCTGGAGCCAGTGTACTAAAATAATCCTTTACAGGGTTAATGAAAGACCACTCAGCCCCTATCGCCCCTGTAGCCAGAATATTCCAATCACAACTTCACAGTTGCCGGTCCGGTCTGCTGGGACTTGCTGCTGCCTGGCTTCAGCTCGTTTCCTGCGTATTTTAGATCATGAACGCAGCTGATTTGTTTAATTAGTCGATGAATCACTCCTCTAGAGACTTAAGAACGTTGGGAGACGTTTCGGCTGTTAGATTAAGGTGTTAAAAAGATTAAATAGCCTGTATTTGATATAGCGCCTTCTAGAGTCCTGAAACCCCCCAAGGCGCTTTACAACACAATCAGTTATTCACCCATTCACACACATTCACACACTGGTGGTGATGAGCTACGATGTAGCCACAGCTGCCCTGGGGCGCACTGACAGAGGCGAGGCTGCCGAACACAGGCGCCACCGGTCCCTCCGACCACCACCAGCAGGCAACGTGGGTTAAGTGTCTTGCCCAAGGACACGACAACGACAGACTGAGCGGGGCTCGAACCTGCAACCTTCCGCTTACGGGGCGAGCACTTAACTCCTGTGCCACCGTTGCCCCATAGATTAATGCACAGCGGACACTAGGGGCTGCTAAAAGCAAGCAAAACTGCTTAGTATCCCTTTAACTGGTTCAAGTCATACAAATAGAACTCAATTAATTCAGCTGAACACATTTACCTCCACTACTACTCGTGTAGTATCTGGGGTTCCTCAGGGATCAGTTTTCGGCCCCTACTATTCATAATTATCTGCTCCCTTTGGGTTCAGTTTTTTGTAAATTCCACATTAATTTTCCATGTTGCACCGATAATACTCAGTTATATATTTTAACTGCACCATCCACAATGCTCCCACCATCCTCACTCACGGAACACCTTGCAGAAATCCTGGTTTTCTTCCAACTTCCTAAGCTCAATTCTTATAAAACTGAAGTGCATCTCGTGCACAAATCAGCATTAGGGAAGGCCACAAAGTTTCCAATTGCAATAGAAAACACTACTGGAGATCAAATTAAGAGCCTTGGTGTAATTCTGGACAGTACCTTGTCCTACCATTCAAATATCAGTTCTGTCACTCGCTCAGCTTACTGCCACTTGTGAAATATTAACCGCCTACGTCCACCTCTGTCTAATCACTCCACCGCTATTTAATAGTTAACAGCTTGGTCACTTCTCACCTAGATTATAACTCACTTCCTCTGCCGTCTACCACAGAAGTCTGCTTAAACTTCAACTGGTCCAAAACTCTGCTGCTCGTATCGTCACAAAAACATCATCTGAAGTGATACGGCAGGTGCTCCACGGCAGACGGACATCAACTATGTAACATCTCGACACTAGGTGTCCTCATGAAGAAACTTTAGTTTACTTTCACCAATAAGTAAACTATTCAACTGACAAGAGTGCTCCTGCATCTTGTTATAGCTTTTTTAATATCACAGAGACAAAGAGTGGCAGTTATAGGATGGAATAAAAAATAATTGCATGAGAAATCTTGCATGAGAAATCACCACAAGAAAACAGAACTAAACACAAAATAGCTGAATACAATAACATCTGGTCCATGACCACACAGCCTGACCACCTGATACAAAAAACAAAGAGGAGCATTCTAGTTAAAATCCCTATACAAGGATGAAGAGTACACAAACCAAACTCTGAGTTCAAATGACACTGTTAGCTAATTTATGGTGTTTAGATGAAAAAAGACAGTTGGATATTTTGTTATTAGTTAATTTGATCTCCCTCTTTCAGGAGTATAACACCTTCGGTTGGTGGGTTGGAGAGAAGAATGGATCTGTGGGGATCGTTCCCAGAGAGTACCTGATGGAGCTTTATGCTGTGTGAAGATGAGACCTGATGGAGCTTTATGCTGTGTCAAGATGAGACCTGATACAAGTTTGACGTTTCAAGAAAATCAAAATGTGCCCAATGCATTTTACCTGCCCCCCCCCCCCCCCCCCCCCCCCCCCAAGAGCCAGGTGGTGTAATGAAAGTGGAAGTATTTCCTGTTCCAACAGGTTGCTGTTTGTATTTATACTACATACATTGTATTTGTGTGCTGCTGCAAATTTTGGCTGACTTCATGTTTTCTAGAGGCAAAATGAATAAACATTTGAACTTGTATTTTTTTTTCTAATTAGATAACCCTTTTTTCAAACCACAAGGTGGCAACAGTTTCCTAAATGTCCTCTTGTGACAAAGGACACACATCTTCAAATTTATATTTGCAATCTAAAATAAATGGAAGAAATCACGAGGAGATTCCATCTTAAACCTTTATGACAGATCCTGAGCACTGAATCATATCATTTACTTAAACATGACTTCTTTAGCTGGACCAGCCAGCCCCACGCTTCGCTCTTTAGTTCTCTGGGTAGAGTTAGAGAGGACGAGGCTGGCAGGCCAGGCTATAACTTCTGGTGCATAAAAACTGTTTATTATGAAAGTTGAGTTTATTCAACTGGTCAGCACTTTAGTCCCCGTCCTTAAAGAGACATTATTTATTTTTATTTATTTTCTATCTTTAATGACATCTGAGAGATATTTCTGTGCAGAAGACCCCAGCAGATTGGAGTCTGTGCTGCATGCCTGAGTGAAATGGTCGACTTGCACTAACAAGACAACTACCCCCACTGATGGCAGGGAAGCTTATCGTCCTCTAAGGGGCAGTTTGACAGCCAGCGAGGTGGCGTCAGCCCAGCAGCTCCCTCCGAGGTGACATACATGCTCTTGCTCTGTGTGTGTTTTTACAACCTGAAAAACCCCAAAGTCAAATTTGTCGCTGTGATTTTTTTCACAGCGTGATCTTTTTCAGGTTTTTTCTTTTTTTCAAGGTTGGGAAGGAAAAATGAATTTATCAACCAATAATTCACTGTGTGTGTGTGTGTGTGTGTGTGTGTGTGTGTGTGTGTGCGCGCGTGTGTGTTTTCTTGTTCTGGTCTCTTTGCTTTGTTCCTGCTGAGTGATGAGCCAAAGTCCTCTGTCCTCTGGGTGACATTCAAAGCTGGCATAAATCCTACGTTTTATGGTACGGTGCAGCGATAAAGCTTCCCTACTAATTGGAGATGTAATGAATAACTATAATTACTTATTGAGTATTCCATATCGGATATTTAGAAGTCGTGTTTTGTTTTAGATTTGGTTGAGCCACAACATTCATGATCACTTTTTGTCTTATAGTTTTAGCCATGAAATGGTCATTTGTGAATTTTTACGGACAAAACGAATATTTCTCTGCTGCTGATATGAAACAAGTGTTTGCCCCTAAGAACCCGCCTTTTAATATTTGTTGGCAGTGGGTCAAGCTGTCAATGCTAAGGGCTGCCTCTCATTTTTAAGTGCCAATAAAGGATTTCATTAATGGATGTGGACTTCACCCCATCACCTAGTGTTAGGAATATGCCTCAGAAAGTACAGGTGCTTTTACTGCGATTTAACATTAAGATATAACATCTAAAAGATAAATGCCCCTGCACCATCTATTCTCCTAGACACTAAATTACACTAATGATACCAGATTATCACTAATTAATACTTTTCTCCATAAAGATGCACTTTTACTAGTCAAATATGTGAAGGCTGAGCTGTTGAACCCTGGAGTTGCTAAAGATAAAACCTACAGGATTTGTTAACATTTATCATAGACCATTATTTCATCCCATCATTTCTGGGCTTAGATTAAAGGTCCGAAGGTGTAATGTTTGCCTCTTCAGGAATGCAATCCTGATCAAGCTGTCAGCTGTTCTTATGCTCTTTAACCAGGTCACTGGGCTGCAGGTCACAGCACATGGACTTATTTATGGTTCTGTCTGGGGTTTTGCAGGACATGTATCACCTTGTAAGACAGGTCCTGCATCAGTGATCCATTAAAGCCCTCCAACCTGGTCTAAATCCACATTTGAAATAAGACCTCTTTTTCTGTTTTAATGCCAGTAACTTTGATTGAGGTCAGTTTCTACCAGCATAACTCATGGTAGATGAAGGTAGGGTTCCTCATTTCTCTAATATTTTACATTATCTTAAATAATGTTAAAATCCTTACTGCTAAATACATTAAAAAATGCAAGGAGGAGACATTTTTTCAATTTCCTTTTTCTGCCATAAAGGATTATTTACGGTTTGATTAAAAAAGCTGTCATTTTAAAAATATAAGTAGTTAAAATGAACAAAAATAGAAAAATACAAATGAAACATGTTTAGAAAAATTAAAGACCTAGAATGAGGAAAACGGACAAAGGGTTGCAGGAGAACACAACACACCAAAAAATACAAATGGAATCGGTTCTATTTTTTAGCCAAAACAAATACCAACAAATCAGAAAATAATAACCAAAGTCAACTAAGTGATCTTTTAAGCATCAGACCCATTTTACCGCCAGTATCACATTTCTGCTGTGTTCTCTTGTTTCAAACAGCCTTCTGGAGAAGCCTTCAGTGAGAGGAGTTTGTTAGCTTGACCAGGATCCAGCCTTGAACCTGTGATATTAAGCTCCAATGCAGCTGTTTCTGCTGCAACGGGCCTCGTCACCCGCTCTCTCCTGTAATCTAGTGTAGAGCTATCACCACTCTCCTCCTGGGTGTAATGGTGGAGGTCGAGACTGTCACTGAAGGTAGAACTATGTTCTGATATGTCGCTCCAGATAAATCAGGCTTTTCAGAGTGGCAGGTGTTTGTCTTCCTGCTGTAAGCACCACTCAACCCCCAGTCCTGCATCTCTCCACAGATTATAAGTCTGCAGCCTCTGTAATCTGCCCTGTTTACTCCAGCTGTGGCTCAAATATCAGGTCAATGATCCACACCTGATTTACAGTGCTAGTTAGCAAAGTGAGTGATGACCCTGGATGGTTTGAGAGGATAGCTTGTAATCAACCCAGGTCAGAGATGCATGTGATACTCTAACTGAAATTACAGCCCCCCCCCCCCCCCCCCCCCACACACACACACACACGTGCAGCAGCTGACTACCCGCCAATCCTGTGCTTACTGATCACCCACTTCTCTTTCCCTCCCTTCTGCTCCTCTGACACAATTATTTCAAAGTCAGATTGAAGCCTGAATTCCAGCTCATTACATTGTCCTGTAAGACAGCCCTCACACAGGAAGTAAAGGTGTGAAGGTTGCGTTACAAGAGCTTGCTCAGCTCACAGACCGTTGCCATCACTTTGTTTTAGTGTCAGCTTTGGAATGTTTCCAAGCAGCATTCCTGCCACGCTAACTGGAGATAATTTAGCACTCTGGCAGCACATGGAGCTGCTCATCAATGCCAACAGATCTAAACACACCATTGCTCTCGTGTTTGAAAAGTAATACCTCATGAACCAATAGATAATTTCTAATTAAACTTTCGTGAAGTCTTCATGTGATGTATATCTGAAACTGTTGAGGTCTATCAGATTCACGATGACAACCACGACTTGGTTAACAAAAATGTCAGTCAGCTTTACAGATAATAGACTAAGATTTTGTTTGATAGTAGCTGAGAGACAGTCCGAACGCAAACACGTCGTACAGTTTCAAGATCTGACCAAAATATTGACAACTTCAGTCTTTTCAAAATAAGAGGATCTTTGTCTAAAACCCCTTCATGGTGATTCACTTTCCTTCACTTGGTACCAGATTTTTATTTTTTAAAGACATTATTAAAAGCCATTAACCCTTCAAAATGTATTTTATTATTTAAAACCATCTCCTCCAAATAATCAAACATAAGAATATACACGTTTAAAATATGTTTAAGAAGTTTTGATCTTTCCAGTACTGACCTTGCATTTTGTTGCATAGATGTCTCTCTCTCTCTCTCTCTCTCTCTCTCTCTCTCCCTATATATATATATATATATACACATACACACACAAATACATACATACTGTACAGTTACACACTACTGTAATTGACAAATGGAAAGCCTGCAGTTTCTGAGCACTCATTAGATTCATCCTACATAAGTAGCGTCTGGAGTAATGTGAGCCATTTATGGCTACATGTAGACATTGTGATGATGGACTGTTTCTGAAAAACAAGCCGAGCCAGTCACCGGATCTACAGCAGAGTGAGGAGAATTTAGGCTCATCATAAAGGAATGTCTCTTTGCCTCTTATTTCACCCGGACGTTTTTATGCTTTTTTTATTTTCTACCTCATTGCAGCTGTGAGCTGCCAGCTGATTTACACACACTGGCAGTGAAGCTCACAGGCTCCCTGGAGATGATGCCCTCAACACCTTCATTTCCCCTGGTGTTGTGATTTCAGTGCCATGTCTTGTAGCATCTCCGT